AGTGCCAGCTACACCCAAACACAGAAGTTTTAGCAGTTGCCTGCTATAGAGCCTACCTGTACTGAAGAGCCCCCCCTTTCCCATACAGCACCCCACAGATGCCTTTCCCCCTGCTCCCCTCCAACTTCTGAGTCACCGAGTACGCAGCCAGCAGCAACGACTTTCAGGTAATTGATAGAAGGAACATTTTCCTCATGCTGACTTCAGTATTTCGGGTGCTTTGTTTCAGTACAGCAAACATTTGACCTCCTGTTTAGGAAAATCAGCCTTAGGGGTTTTGCTAAAAATAACTGCTATCAGACAAATCGACTTGTTTTTTTTTTTTTCTTTTTGCCTCTGATAAGCACCCTCACATTCTGAGCTCTTGTTGCAAGCGCTGCTTTGACTGTTACAAAATAGAAATGGGTCATGAGATAAAAACACTTAGTATTTAAAAAAAAAAAAAAAAAAAACAACCTGTTACAGTATACCTGTAGATTGGCAAGTCAGGCAGTAGATCACTTGACAGCACAGCCGAACTGGTGAGCTCTCCTGCAGCAGTTGTGCTTACTTCACTGTTAAAACATTATTATTAGAAATCATTACCATTAAGAAATTAATATATTCCTTTTTCTTCAACAGCAAATTTGAAATATAAGCAAAGGTTTACGGCAAAGCTTCTAAGCCAGTGTAAATTACTGGAATTCCTGTAAAAGCACAAGAATTAATACTGCCTGACAGTTTGCCCCTATGGTTACACCACCTGGATGCTGAGCTGTATGACAGAACTCTCTCTGTGTTTTCTGAGATTTGCCACAATGAAGCGGTTTAAAGATTTTTCAAGTTAAAACTTGGGTATCACGAGTGAGGTGTTAGTTTTCCTCTCTGTGCCTTTTCCTTGGGGACAATCAGGACATATTTGCGTTCGCTTAAGAACACAACTCTGCTGTTTACTCGGAGGTTTCTGCAGCATCTGGCTCCAGCCCTGCTGACTGGCAGGGAGCAGACCTCAGGGAGGGGGTGGGAGTTGTGCTTTCCCTAGGGCTTCTCCCTCATCATGGGGATGCTGCCGTGGTGTCATGATTAAAAAATGTTGGCTTTTCTTTTGTTGGCCAATGCTGCAAAATGATTCCTGACATTCTGCTGTGTATTTTGGGAGAAATCTGTTTCAGTCTTGGACTGTGCTTTTAATTGAAAAAAATGCCTTCCATCTAGATAGCTTAATTAAGATTATATTTGTTTAATGTATTGGTTTGTTCAAGGAAATCTCAAAAAGTGATTAGACGTGAGTATGGAGTTTATCAAGCAGGCCTGTGTCTGGATTAGATTATAATTGTCTTCCATTCAGTTACTCAAATATTTTCCCGATCACTCATCGAGAATATTACGTTTTCCCTTCTTCTTGTGGTTTCTTTTTCCTTCCTTGTGGCTGGAACTCTATTTTTTCTTCTGATAAAAGCTCGTGGCTTTCATTTAGTTTGCTTCCACTGACCGAACAGCGCACAGACACTGAGATGTTGTCAGCTTAATAACCATGAAATAAATCCATCCATAGCTCCTAAATGCACGCGCGGGTATGGGCACACACAAGCAGAGCGCAATGTTGTAATTAATGTCACTTAATACCTGGAGCTGGATAACTGGAACGCAGCAGCTGGAACAGAGCAGCTGACAGTTGTTCCTGTTCAAACATCATCGTTGCCATTTTATTTACAGCAGGGATGCTGGAGTGCTGCAGGCGAGGTAGGGCAGGGCAGGAGCCCTGCTCCTGAGCATACAGCCTGTGGGGGCTGCCCAAGCCCTCGGGAAACACCAGTAACACCGAACGGTCACCGCAAAGGGAACTGGTTTTCATCGCTCACTTGCACTCAGGGACTGGTGTGGGAACAAAGAAAGGAGTGGGACAGAAATTCAGGGCGATGGATCTAACAAATGACATTTCTGTAGGTCTGGAAAGGGACATAGACCTTGAGACACTCCACGTCTGACCTCTGGGAGTCTTTGGCTCTAAACGTGAATATCCTATTTGTCTTGGGAACAAAATGAGTCTGAGTGGAATTACTTAAGTATGGTAGAAAAAATCTGGGATTGTGGTCCTCGAGCAATTGAGTAGAGCCAGCTAGTTCATTCTTCCACCCTCAAGCTGGTTAGTTAGTTCGGGGTTTATTTTGTTTGGTTTGGTTTTTTTTTTTTTAGGAGAGTGGCAATATTGGATGAGTTCTGTCCTGAATTCATTACCAGTATAGGTTAGAGACTGATCAGAGTCTCGCTGTCAAATGATATCTCACCGAGGACTGGGTATCTGCCCCATGCCTAATTTATGACTCTCCATCAGGGTTAGGTGAGAAGTGGGTGCCAAGGTGCAAAGGTCTGCCACAACAGCAGCAGTGGTGAGCGTGCACAGTAGCAGAACCTGTAGAAGTTTACTGGCAAAAACACTAGGAAAACGATCAACTTGGAAATAACTATTTTTTTTTTCCTGAGACTGGCTTTATTATCAAACATTCTATCTTATTTTTTTGCACGCTTTTGCATCAAGCAGGGGCCTGTGCAAGCATTTCAGTTTAGCGAATGTCGTCAGTGATAATATAGAACAAGACCAGATATGAAATGAACTGCTGCTGTGTCCAGGAGGCCGACTCCAGACCTGTAGCACTGTTCTTTTATTGCTGGAGCTAGTGATACCATTGCTGTTTACATCAAAAGAAGTTGCACTGAGCTTTGGCGTGCAATTCACATGATACTTTTGCAATCCAGGGCAACTGCGATTTATTTTAAGTTGCAAAGTTTTCAGTGACCCTGGTTTAAATTAATTTACAGCAGACTTAATCTATGACATTTCCCGGGTTTTAATTTTTTCATAAATTTTGCATTTCCCCAGTAAAAAAAAAATCTTCATTTCTCTTTCTCTCTATACTAGCCCTTCTTCCTCACTGTGTGTTTATTTGTAGCCACTAAGATTCCAAGTATGCCTTTCTGGATCAGTCCGGAGCTTTCTCATAAATATATCACACAAATAAAGCAATAATATAAAATGTTGCATATTCCAGGCAAACCAGACGCTGCAAACGCAATAACTGATGAAAGAAAAAGCCTGGAAATTCAGGAAGATTTTTCCTTTGTGATACATAAAATCTGTTTCATGAGTGACGAGTAGTACCAGCTTCACGCAACTTTCAGTGATGCCTTGGGCAACATTTTTAAATATGAATACCTTCTGGTCATCTTCCAATTCAGGTTGCTCAGACAAAAGCAATATTTATGTGGGTAGATGAGGGTTTGTAAAACAGTGATTATTTTCTTTTGGAGTCTGGTGCATTGTATGTAGGGTCTGGTGTTTAAGCTGGTTGTGTGAAGCTATAGCAACAAAATTACCATTTTGTTCCAACTGGTTCTTTTCTTCACCATAAGCAACTCTGCAGCAAGTCTGCCCCGCTTGTGCTGCTCTTTGGTTAAACTACTCTTGGGAGGCTCCAGACTGCTAGACTAAAAAGCTAGTGAAAGCTTTTATATAAAAGTAACTGTATGGCATTTGTTTTTTATAGCTCATAAAAATATTCAGAAATGTTTGCTTTCTGTTTTCTTATTATTTGTTATTTTGGAAACCTTTGTTTTAAGCAGGCTGTCGTAAACAGACTGAGCAGCCAGTAAATCCATTGGGCCCTCCGCAAACTAGAAAAACATCTGCCTGTTCTGCTGTGCTCAGAATGGGCTCCAGAGGTTCCCCTGACTCAGACAAAATGAGAAAATGTACTTCTTTGACAAGCTGGAGTAGCCCACTTCATAAAGCGCAGGTCACTTCCAATCAAGTCTCTTCCCGTTCCTACTTTATTCCAGCCTCTATCTGATTTTTCAGCTGGATCTAAATACGAATTTCCTTGCTTTAGTTATGTTTAATATGGTTTTAAAGCTGCAGGCCTGGATGCTGTCCTGGTGCCTGAGTATGAATCGCTTGTGAGACAGACCTGAACTTCCTGTTGTTTGTGCCAAAACTGCTAAGATTGTGTTTTTCTGTTTCACAAAAGCTGCTGAGCACAAAAATTTTGTAGCGTATAGTGACGGGATATCATCATCCCAAACTGACTCCAAATTGGGGGGAAAAAAAAGGTTGTCATTAACAACTTACTATTCAGATGAGCTGAGTAATAGTTTTTATGTTTTGCTTTGGTTCTAAACAGACAACTTGGGAAGGAGATAACACTTTTTTGTTGAGGGTTTTTTTTTTTATTATTTATTGGAAGGGTAGTTGTTTCTTGAATAAAGTTCTATTTGTATGTTTTTTTTAATTTGGTTTCTTGAACTTTGAATGAGAGGTGAACATGGGAAGTATCAGTTTTCTGGTTGTGAGGGTGGGCGAGTCACTGCTGGCAGTGAAGACTTTTTTGAAAAAGCTACAGAAAAGAAAGCTTTAACTGTTCAGAACTATTTTAATGCATTCAGTGTTTGTTACAGGCTGGAAGTGATGAGCATGCCAAGTTAGAAGTGCAGATTTCTAAGAATGCTTGCTACAAAATGATGTTAACACTGGACTGCAAGAAAGTCTTAAGAGTGGTTGCCTTTGGGGAATCTTGCTATAGTAGCCTCCAAAAAAAAAAAAACAAAAACAAAAACTGACTTATTTGTTTTAAATGTAGCCCTTTTCTGAGTAGATCGCTGAGATAAAAGAGGAAGGTGACAAATTGAAAAATGAACTTGAAAAGTGTTCTAGTGGGAAAACTCCATATAGGCTCAATGAAGATTTTTGTTTAATTTCTAAGAGTTAGTTTAATAACTTTCTATGACTAGCATTATTTTAGCAATCAAGGAACTGAACTGAATATCCTTTCCGACGGTTGAGTAAACTCTGAGAGTCAATCCCTTGAACAGCTGAAGTTGTCAAATAAATATATAATCACACAATCAGACTGAGTCCTAAGCAAACAGCTCAAGGGCTTAAGAAGTACTGCTGTTCACCGCAGGCGTATTTTTTATGCGATATGGGCTGTGTTGCTAACCAGATCTGGTATGTTTCTGTCTTTCAGATTTGCCACTGGATTATAGATTTACACGATTTTCCTCAAACAGCTCAGCAACTGCTGGGTACTACCCAAGCCCTCCAAGAGCACTGCTGCCAAATGAGGAGTCAGTGACTATGAAATAGGTTGTCAGTTTTTTTCCTTAAATAACCCTGTGGCCCTTCCTTAAACTACTATCAAATGCTGATTGGTGAAAATGCCGTGTGGTGCTTCATAAAGTAGAATGATGGGTCAAAGCTGACGCCTGTGTAGACTTGCGTTTCACTTGCTCTAGTCCAGCCAAACCAGGTTACATCCTTCTCTCTAAATCTTCTGACCACCACTACCTTTCACAAAGTGCTGTTGGCTTTTTCCGTGCACTGCCCAGAGCCTTCAAGAGAAATGTAATAACTCATCCCAAGTTACGTTCTACGTTTTCAAGAACATTTTCAATACTATCCCTATGTAAGGTGATGCCGTTGCTACCATAAGCTCCAGGAAAGAAATGAACTAGACTTTCAGCCATATTTCATTAAAAGTTGCCTTGGACATCCCAGGCTATCACCGTAGATTAGTGTTTTGCAGGCTCTGAGGAATTTATTCTCTCAGTGTAACAGTTCTTGGAGACACACAAAGACCGAGGCCCAAAGAGAAAGGTGCATCGTACCCAAAAAGAGAATTGAATGGGATTTAGGCTACTAAATGCAGCCTGATAGTCCTGAAAGCCTTTGTCACATGCCTCGTATTCCTGAAAGTGCCTAACCACTCGCCAACAGTAAGGTTCCCTACATGCCTTTTTCCTCCTTTAGTCTTCAATTCTGCAAGAGCCAGAGCTCTTCTGCAGAAGGAGGGAAACCCATGTACAGTTCCCTTCTCAGCTTGGGTGGATTCAAATCCAAACCCACATTCTCCACCTCCCTGGGAAATCCTTCCAAGAGTAGGAAGGGTATACTAAGTAGAGCCTCAGCCCAGAGGAGAAACAAAACTGAAGACATAAACTGAGCATGTGCTTTTTTATCGGCTAATTTAAGCAAACAGGCATCCTGCTCTCTGCAGATTCGGTTCCAAAGACCCATTCTCGAGCCTGTTGGACAGGGACCCATTGGTAACTAACACAGGGTAGCCAATGCAAAAACGTGTGAAAGATACTTGTTTAGTCAGCAGTTTTGTCACACTGGGATGTCAGAATTTTGGATAAATTCTCCTCAAAGTTTAAAGAATAAACAGACATACTATTTTCTTATTTTCAAGAGAAATAATTTACTTTCTTAGGCCAAGACAATTATCAGAATGGGTTTAATAACGCTTAACTTGTGTCACACAGTTCACCCTACATTTTTGCAGCTTCACCACTTAAAATATTTTGTGTCAGAATCAGACGTGAACACCATCCCACCTTATTTCAGAGATATCAGCTTTTGTTTCCGTACTTTTTTCTTACCTTTACATAGGATGTTATTTTTACATTCTTGTGGTCCAGTATATTTACAAGTAATACACAACATTTACAGTTTTAACACAAAGCATTGTTTTTTTTTGAAAGGGAAACAAAACAAATGAGGAAAAAATTGAGAAAAGCTTTCCTTAAAACAAAGTGGGTGAGGAAGGAAAATGAAAGTTCCATTCTCCTTCTCATAAACTGTAGGCTGAAAATATTTGACTTTAAAAGGTAACAATAAGAAATACTTAAGTTTATTTTGAAATTTTTAAATTAGCATCAGTGTCTTGGGCAGCAAGTCTGGTTCACGATAAGGGTATGGTTTGTATTAAGCAGAGAGATACCCAGATAAAAATCTCAGATCCCTGATTACAACATCATTTAAAATTCTAACCTGAATCAAATAGTCCTCTTCAAGTAATTCCTAACTAGGTTATGGTCCAAACCAGTATTGTTTACCCCCATGCTTTTGTTCTGAATTTGGAACTGATTTTTGTAGGTTGGGGATTTTTTTTATTGTTTTTTAAAGAAAATTAATTCAAGTTGAATTGTTAATGAAAATTAGAGTGAAAATCATCTAAGTAAGCCCTTGGTTCCTGGCATCTCGGTGGAGAAGCAGTATTTATTTTAGTGGAGAAGGGACAGATTCTGAGGACGGCCTGAACACGAAGCTCACCGGAAGAAATGCATATCAAGACTTGCTCAACGGAGAGGTGACGGTACCCGTTTCTGACGAAGGCCCTCAGCAGCCATTTGCAGTTGCTGCCAGAAGGATTACGCAAAAACAGAGGAAGAAGTGGATAACAGAAAGCTACTGCAAGCAGGACTCCACGTGCCACCACAGTCTGTGCCTGCAGGAAGGCTTAGGAAACATCGCTGAAGCATTTGCCCAGAAACCAGAGTTCCTGTGAAATCGGACTTAACTCTTACGAAAGACTCTTCTTATTAAAGAATCTCTGCAAATTGTGTGGGTCTTGTTACAAAAGAGAAGGTGGCAGTGGAGGAACTCGAGGAGCGCAGTCGGCGCTGTGGCAGCGGGACAGCTCTGGGAAGTGGAGGTGGTGTGGAGACCAGGGAGAAGAAATGCACGTGGCAGGGAATTGGTAGGGAGCTGGCCGTATTTAACACAATGCTGTAAAGACATCACCTTTGCTTCTTCCTTCCTTCTCTTTTTTTTTTTTTTTTTTTTTAACCCCTGGAAATCTCTGAAATTTCTTGGGTTCTGTGGTGAGAGGCCATTGACAGAAAGATCGCTGAAGTGCCTGCAAAACTATCTTGAGTATCGGCAGGGAGACATAAAGCTGTAAAGTTTCATTAAAACCACTTTGGCTGGTTATATAGCCCTGAAAGCCACAGTTTTGCTTAAAACCAGAGATGAATACCAAGTCTCTTTTGGCACCTGTTTTGGTTTAAAGCGCATGTGTCTGAATTTTAAAATAAAGAGAATTTATTTCTGAGAAAACTCTATGTTCTCTGAATGTACTTTATAGCTGAGCAGCAGAGCGAAAAAAGGGAGACAGGGTCATCACGAAGCAGTGCAAGGAGAGGGTCGTGCTACAACCTTGAACAAAGCAAAACTTGACTCACTCAAAATAGAAGATACATAAATCAACCAAAAACTAGTATAAATTCCTACCTTTAATAAATTAATACCTGTAGGAAAGTCAGCTTTGACGCAAAGCAGAGCTCACCGCAAGCGTTTTCTGAATGGGGCTTGTTCCTGGAAACTAAATGCTTCTTTATCCCTAGTGAGTAAAAGTTAAATAACCAAGTGCAGATAGCTTGTTCGTGGTAGATACGGGGCACTGCTGGACACGGGCCTTTCTGGGGCTGGTGCTTCCCCAGCCTGCTGGGGCTCTCCAGCTCCTCGGAGTCCCAGGTGTGTGATAATGCAGCAGCGCCGGAGCAGTTCCTAAGGGAATTCCCAGGAAAATTCGTCTGATGACAGGCACCAGCAACCAGCACTCCCCAAAGTGGTTTAAATCTGCCTAAGTAGCAAGGAGCCACTGTCCAGCCTACGGAGGGGAAAAAAAAAAAAAAAAAAAAAAAAAGTGACGCTAAAGATGCAGCAGCACGAAAAGGTGGGTTCGTACAGAGACGGGCAGGTCTTTTGGGACGCAGGAGGGCTCCAGGACAGGCCCCCAGGTGTAACCACTGATCTCACCCACCCCCTGCAATGACCCGTAATGCCCCAGACATCAGCTGCACTCGAAAAAATAACCTTTAGCCCTGCCCATGTTGCCTCGCGTGACGTCCTGTAGCAGCGGTTGGCTGTAACAACTGAAAACAATACGACTGTTTCACTATGACAGGTGAAAATCGTGCCTACCCTGTCCTCCCAGGCCACGCTCCGCTGTACAGGCTGTAGGGTTTTTAACAGTCTTTTTGTCAGGTTCTTTAGAAATTGAAGAAGTGCAACGTAGCTCACCGGCAAGTTGAAGAGTACTCAGCAGTTGCGCCGTTGTAAAACAGGATGCGGAAAATCGCCTGCCACGCGCAATACACAACACTGATCTTTGAGGGAAAATAAATATAAACTTTGGCCCAGCTCCAAGTCATTGGCCCTAGCACACTGGATCAGATCTGGCTACAGCCGGGTTGCAAACCACGTAACCCTCAGTAAAGGCTGGTTTATCATGAGATTGCTCTAATTCAAAGCCCTTCGCTTGTGTTTTCCTGAGAAACAGTCATTCTCCTGTGGAAACCTCATTTTTTTTTTTTCTTTCCAGGAGTCCTAATCCAACCTGAGAGAGGAGCAGGGTATGGCCAACACCTAGTGCCTTAGCAAAATGAATGATTCCCAACCTGGCCCTGGAGTGCTTCTCTTTGCTATAGATGCACAGTCAGATTTTCTAGCTGTGTAGAACAATATACAATTTTGAATCATCTTCCCTACCATCAGTAGAGATGCGATTTTACGTTTCTTACACTGGCCTTGTCTGAAGTGTTTGGCAATGACTTGTCCGATCACATACCAAATAAATATTGTAGCTTCACCTTTGTCTTTCCTCCTGGGGCCAAGTATGCATTAAATCATACCAAGGCAAATGACAGCAGAGTGTAAGAATATATAAATTACCAGAGATGCCAACAGTGAAAAGGCAGTGTCTGTACTTCCATGTCAACCTTGTTTTGCCACCACAGGGAACAAAAAATGCAGTAAATGTAAAACACGCTGCTGTACACAGCCTGAATGTTTTGCATTACAGTTTCTCAGAAAGTCAGGTTTAGAAAGGCACTGCTGGGCAAAAAGGGAAAAGTCTCAGGCGCCGTACAGGGGGGGATTGGATAGGAAGATGTTGCTTCTGACTTCCCTGGCTAGGGCACACGGCACATGCTTGGAGGCAGATAGTATTTCAGGCGAAGCATAGCATCAGATTTAGGAGGGGAAGCACACAGCTAGGCGACAGGAACCTTATCTTTGCAGAGAGTGCCAGCTATAATGGTGTAATGGCTGTAATGGTGTAGCCACAGACATCTATTGTTAACAACTGCCCACGAACCAGCCCTTCCAGCAGGCACGTAGCTGATCCAGAACCCCCGGGGGGAAAGGCTCAATCCCATCATAAATCCAGTTGCCCGTAATTTTGTTTTCTGCATTTCTGAATAAGTGGAACATCAAAGCCCTTGGTGAGTCACTGGAGAGGGGAAAAGAAAAAAAAAAAAAAAAAATTAAGGTTTCTTCTGAATGTTTTCCGTGCAAGAAACAAATCCTGCTTTTCTGCAAGCATTATAAATAGAAGTGCTTAACTGGAATACAGCCTGGATTGGGGCCAAAATAAGATGGAATCCAGGAAGTTAAACAGACTCAGAGATTTCCAGCCCGAAAAGCTTGCCAACATCTTTACAGATCAAACTGGGGATTCCCATCTACAGGTCAATGGACTAGTACTGTGGCCAGCATGACCGATCATTTTCTTGAATATAGGACAAAGGTGTAAGGGAAATCTTTTCGGTATGAGGTGGGTACCCACAGCATTTCTCTGGCAGGCATGGCAAGACCGCAGAGATTTTTACAGCTGACCAGATGTCACAGTTCACAGAAGGGCAAACATCTGAAGCACCGCGTCTAACTCCTGCCCCCGCTGCAGCTAAACTGATTTAATCAGAACTGTGCTAAAAAATCCCTCGTGCTTCCCACTGACACTGCCGGGACGCCTGCGTGGTTCTCTCACACATGGTCATAACGACGTTGAAATACTTGCATGGGGGTGAGAAACCGTCGCAGCCACTTCAGAGCCGTGTTATGGCTTCCAGCCCCTTTGGCAAATGACAGGGTGCAGGCCGCAAAACGGCAGCAGCACGAAGGGAATAGCAGTCTGCACAGCAAACACCACAGCTCCGATGGCCCAGGCAGTGCAGGTTCTGCCAGCCAGAAAGGTATTTCTATTTCCCACTGACTGCTAAAGGTTGAGTACAAACGCTTACACGCTCAGTTTGATTTCCTTTTGCAAGGTTGAAGAGTTTATGTTCTTGTTAAGAGCGAAGAGAATCATAAAATATCTTACCGTATACAGGAGAAAAAACCTAGATGTTCTTGTCCAGAATTTATGAGAGTAGTGTTTTCAGGGTGTAATTTAGAAAAGTCAATTAATTTTCAGTAGACCTTGTTTTATCACAACACTAAAGCAACTCTGAAAATTGTGACTCCATGTGCCTGATAAATTTGCATTTAGAAGATTAATTTTTAAAGCCTCCGTCATCTCTGAGCACAGGTGAATATAGCAACTCTTTTCTTGCCTTACCTCAAAATAATACCCGAGAACTGCAGTTTTCTTGCTACACCATCCCCCGGGACGTCAGCCCACACGGAGAATTTAAATGGGTATATTAATCCAGAGAAAGGAGGTGCCATTGTAAATTTTGTGAAAAGAAACACGATGTTCTGAAATTGAGAGAGAAAAAAATTCTTTATCTTATACTGACAGAAGGCCTCAAAAATATCTGCTGGAGGGCTGCTGCTAAAGCAGCTGCAGTGGTGTTGGAGACAGCAGCTGTGAACTTCTATCCCTGTTTTCTCCCTCAAAGCTGCCCAGAAAATAGGGCACAAGTGCCCAGACATATATATGGGCATATGTGTATGTATGTATGTGTGTGTATACATATATAAATATATTTATATATGTATACACACACATGAACAAGCAGCAGTTAAGGCCTAGGATCCCATGACATGGGAACCCGTAGACTATGGGAATGAGGGAATTATCTGCATTTGGTAGAAGCTGTGGGGGTTTAGGTCAATTAAATAAACTAAGCACTCTTAGGCAGTAAGAAGGGCAGTCTCTACGTCAGTCGTGGACAGGTGATGGAAAACGGAGCATAGATGGAGGGTCAGCATGGGCTGACATCAATAGCTTAACAGGGCAATAGATGGCTAGAGGGTATGAGGGAGCAGAGTTTACAAATATTACAGTAAATGATAATTAAAAAAATAACTATATTGTGTAGGGTTTTCCTCTTTCCTCTAACCTTTCTCCTCTTATTGCTCAGGACTTGGAGATACCTGGTACATTATTGATATTAATCCATACACAAAATTAGAAAATAAATAAATAAATAAAATAGTAACCTGAAGACAATTACATGAATTTAAGAAAAGAGATTTAATAACAATGAATATGACTGTTGTTAGGTAGATATTATTAAAAGTACCTGTAAAAGTATTTGTATATATGTATACATATATGTGTACACATTTAGAAGCCATTGCTCTGTAGAGGGGACCACCAGTGACTCGCGAATATGGATGTGTGTATGAGTGATCGATCACGAGGTGGTTACAGGGGCCCCTGAAATACTCAACAGCAGCGGCCCAAAAGCCCCAGAACAATACACACAATAACCAATTATTGGTACAGACCAGTGCAACAACCTCCTGAAGCCCCTAAAACTAAGAGGAGAGACCTGTGTTTAGGGGATATGTATGACTACAACAAGAACAACAAGTCGGTGAGCACTACTGCTTCAGAATTAAGTGTGCAGAATTGATCGCTACGGTATCCTCTAGTGCTACATCGGTAAGTATTGTCTTTAAGTAGATACTAATCTTTAATGCGTGTGTCTGTGTTTGATCTGATATCCCACCTTTGAGCCTTGGGGGCGACTAGGATACAGCAGATCAGAGTGAGGTGGTTATAGAGAGAAATGGAGAGTCAGCAACAAGTTCAAGTACAATCTCTAAGACATACCTTTTTCATTTACACATCACTAGTGTAAGGAGGAAGAGTGACACACGGGTGTATGAAACTCAAGAATTGAGGGTGGGGATGAGTTGAGCCACTTGTAAATATTTTCATGAGTTCCGGCAGTTGTTTAGTTGTCTGCTTGGCTTTCCACATATCAAGTGATTTCATAAAATAGCTGGATTCTAGCCTTAAAAATGCCATTCACTGCAAACAGCGTGTTACAAATGGAAAACATTATTGCAACATATCTGGCATCCGGAGAGGGAGATTGTGG